TTATTTTAAAAAATATTTTATTTATTATTTTTATGTGTATGTGTGTATTGCCTGTATGTGGGTAAGTGCACCTGTGTCGTGTAATGCCTGTGGAGGACAGAAGAGGCTGTTGGATCCCCTGGAACTGGAGTTATGGACAGTTGTTAGCTGCCATGTAGGTGCTGGCATTTGAACCAAGTTCTTCTGCAAGAACAGCCAGTGTTCTTAACTGCTGAGCCATCTCTCCAGACCCTATTTTCATTTTTTATTTTATTTTTTTTTGGTCTTTTGGGGTCTCCCTGTAGCCCCAGCTGTCCTGGAACCCACTATGTAGACCAGGCTGGCCTTGAATTCACAGAGATCCGCCTGCCTCTGCCTCCGAGTGCTAGGATCAAAGGCGTGCGCCACCACGCCTGGCTTATTTTTATTACTTTTAAGTGAGTGTGTGCAGGTACCTGTGGAGGCCAGAAGAGAGCATTGGATCCTCTGGAGCTGGAATCACAGGCAGTTGTGAACTGCCTGACATAGTTGCTGGGAATGAAACTTCAGTCCTTTCCAAGAACAGCAAGCACTTTTTTTGGATTATATTTTGAAACATTGTCTCCTTATAGCCCCAGTTGGCCTGAACTTACTGTGCTTACTGTATAGACCAGGCTAGCCTTGAACTCACAGAGATCTTCTGCCTCTGTCTCCCAAGTACTGGAATTAAAGGCATGCGCCACCACATCCTGCTTATTTCATACAACCCATGCTTGCCTCAAATTTGTTATGTACCCCGGGTTCCCTTGAACTCTTGATCTTCCTGCCTCCACCTCCTTTGAGTGCTGGCATTATCAGTGTGTGCTATCACACCTGGCCATCTGTATGTTTTTAAAGGCCCCGGAGTGATGTTAACATGCAGTTTTAGGAGAACCTGCTCTATATCCTTCATGTTATCAAAACCACAAAGGATCACTCTGCTTTTACATGCTTTCTCAAATAGTTCCTATTTGAAAACTCAGAACCAATGAAAGGCAGTAGTTGCTGGGTCCATTTTAAAGATGAAGACACAGAGGTAGCTTGCCCAGCGTTCCCCAGTTCTGGTTAGGAACCAGAAGCCAAGTTCTGTGATGTGGCCCTGGAGCCTAGCTCTCCAACTCAAGGACCTGTTTTTTTGTTTGTTTGTTTGTTTTTCCCTCTCTGTGCTTTTTATTGAACACAAGGCACTATGTATCT